AAAAAAAAAAAAAAAAAAAGAAAAGAAATGAGTACTCTCAAAGGAGTAAGGCGCTGGCCCCATATGCCGGAGGTGGCAGGTTCAAACCCAGCCCTGGCCCCAAAAAAAGAAAAATGAAGTATATGTAGGTGTGACTTACTTTACTATCCTCAGTGAAGAACACTGAGTGAGGAGGGACACTCCGTGGGTGTGTAAGTGTGGTAAGTCTTAGAAAGTTTTAGGTACCTGCTATAAGGTTTCGTAAATCTGTATATTGCATGGATTATTTGATCTCAGGCTCAAGTAGAGACTAGGGGAGGCCTAACTTAATTAAAAACATATGCTTAAGGTGGTGCCTGTATGTGCCAGCCACATACACTGGGATAGGTGGGTTCAAACCTGGCCCAGGCCTGCTGAACAACAACCATAACTGCAACAAAAAAAATAGCTGGGCTTTGGCGGGTGCCAGTAGTCCCAGCTACTTGGGAGGCTGAGGCAAGAGAATCACTTTTAAGTCTAAGAGTTAGATGTTGCTGTGAGCTGTGACACTACGGCACTCTACCCAGGGCGACATAGTAAGACTCTGTCTCAAAAAAAAGAAAAGAAAAGAAAAAAACATACACTTAAAATTCTTAGCACGGAGCCTAGTACATGGTAAATACTCAACCGGTACTACCGTTATTATTTTTCTCTGAATCTCAGTTTATTTCTCAGTATTCCATGTATATGAAGAGTCTATAAGTATGGTCTAGGAAGGCAATTTCTTGGCCTTCAGTTGCAAATTTAGATGTCTTCTGGGCTAGGAAGGTATCTCCTAAACTTAAAATGTTGAGCTAGCCAAGCAAAACATATTTTTTGTTTGGGTCTGATTTAGCCAGAAGGCTACCACTTTGCAACTTCTATGTTGTTTATCCACAAAAGAGAAAAAAGTGCCAGAATTAAGTCACAAAAACTTCAAATTAATATTACTATTTGTAGAAGAAATCAAATATATCTCCTTTCTCCCCCTACTTTCCTCATTTGAAATAACATTCTGGAATTGTTAGGGCTAAAGCTGTGCTCACTAATTTACTGGGCTCAGATACAGGTCTATCTCATGTGTAATAGGGTCAAACAGAGCCTTCCCCACCAAGCACAAACTCGGTTATGTCTGTCAGGGAGCCTCTGCTTTATCACAGAATTTCTAGTTCTTTCTGCATAGGAAAGGGTTTTTTATACAGGGACTCAATTAACCAAAGGCAGTGGGTATTTAGGCCTTAGAGTTGGTGTAAAGTCTGCTGATTTGATAATATCATTTGTCCAGTGCTTCAGTCTGAAGAGAATTTTTAAGGTCTGCTTTTAATGCAGAAAACATGTGCAGAATACAAAAGAAAATTTTGATGTTTATTGAGTCCATTTTTTTAAGGAAAAAGAGTCTATTGAGATTTATGCTAAAATGTTACTCATATTTATCCCTGAGGAATTTTCATCAGCTATAATAGCTTAAATTTGTAGGGATTGGAAAAATTTATTTATTCAGTAATCATTATGCTGGGTATGGCAGCTCATGCATGTAATTCTAGTGCTTTGGGAGGCTGAAGCAGGAGGATTGCTTGAGGCCAGAGCTTGAGATCAGCCTGGGCAACATAGTGAGATCTCCAAATAAAAAAATTATCTGGGTGTGGAGGTGCATGCTTATAGTTCCAATTACTAGGGAGGCTGAGGCAAGAGAATCGGTTGAGTCTAGGTGTTCAAGACTGCAGTGGCACTGCACTCCAGCATGGATGACAAAGTAAGACCTTGTCTCTGAAAAAATAAAGTATTTTATGTGCTCAACTCTTCACTAAGTATACTAAATATTAAATACTAAAAACTTATAAGGTTGTGATAGATGTGTTACTTGGTTCAATGTAAACATTTCACATTATATATCGAAGCAGTACGCTGAACCCCATAAATGCGTCAGTGTACAAAGTTATGATTTAATAAAAAATAATTATAAAAAAATAAAATAAAAACTTATACGGAATTTGAGTTAATTTTTTTTTCTCTTTTTTTCCCTCCATCTACTAGCTGGATATGAATTTGAATGAAGAAAAACAGCAACCTTTGAGGGAAAAGGACATCATCATTAAGAGGGAGATGGTGTCCCAATATTTGCACACCTCCAAGACTGTGAGTTCTGGGACAAGTACCCTTGACCGGGGAGAATGTGCCCTCATCTTTGACCTGTTTTGCCAATTCTATATAACATTTTCTATCTACGTCCATTCTGTTCATTCCGTTTTATAAGCCTTCCTCATTTTTTACTCTTTTCAGTTACTGTTCTTATCTACTTTTTTGCCTGATTAAATCTTCATGAAGTATGTATGGGGACTGGGATGGGCAATTCTGAATTTTATAAGTTTAGTGGTGTGAGGGCTAACAATTATGTTTGTGAACTCATCCTAGAAAAAGTGCTACATATACCTACCTCATTGCTGAATCACTACACTACAGTCACCTTCAAAGAACTCCCTTTGAGAAGCTATGCATCAGTGCTGGTGCCTAGTCTACCCTTCAAAGCAATTTTGGAACTCTTTTTTTCTGGAATGACCATCAGAATGTCCTAAATGTCATCAAAATGTCTTCTTTCAATATTTCCTTTATCTTTGGGTAAAGATAAAAGTCATTGGGGGCCAGATCAGGTGAGTAGGAAGGGTATTTCAATATAGTAATTTGTTTACTAGCTGAAAATTCTCTCAGAGACAGTGCTGTGTGAGCTGGTGCCTTGTCATGGTGTGAGAGCCATACCCTTCTCATGCCAAGACTTTCAGTTAAGATTTTCCTGTTTCTGTCAATGTTTACTTAATCTGCTGTGCTTGTCACAGTCAACTGAGAATCTTGACACACAATTTGATGAATTTTTGCGATGTTTTTGTCAGTTCTGCTTGTTGTTGCCCTGACCTCTCTTCATTAGTGATGCTTTCTCTCCCCTCAGAAAATCATTTAATCCTGGCCTGGTGCGGTGGCTCACGCCTGTAATACTAGCATTCTGGAAAGCCAAGGCAGGTGGATTGCCCGAGCTTAGGAGTTTGAGACCAGCCTGAGAAGGAGCAAGACCCTGTCTCTAGTAGCTGGGTGTTGAGATGGGTGCCTACAATTCCAGCTACTTGGGAGACTGAGGCAAGAGGATCTCTTGAGCCTGAGAGTTTGAGGTTGCTATGAGCTATGACGCCACAGCGCTCTACTCAAGGCAACAAAGTGAGACAGTCTCACTAAAAAGAAGAAAAAACATTTAATCCATTTGTATACTACTGTTTTTTTTTCATGGCATTATCCCCATAAACTTGGACTAACCTGTCCCTGATTTCACTTCCACTCTTGCTGACTTTAATAAGAAATTGAGTGTTTGCTCATTGCTCTAATTTAAGCTCTGACATTCTTGCAATGGCACACAAAAATATGCAACAACAATAATGAGCACCATTTAGGATGACGCCCCACACATCAGCACGAACACAGCTGTGAGACACATATACCAAGTTTATGAAACTTTACCAAGTTGTTTGTACAGTCCTGCCAACATAAGGACACAGTGGCAAGTTCACAAACATAATTGTAAGACCTTATATGTAATAGATGTCTGCCCTCATGTTATTTAAACTGTATTAACTAATACTACTCCCTAATTTATAACTCAGTCCAGTGTTTAGTAATCTCTTTATATGCCGCCTCTCCAGGGTATGAGCCAAAAGGAGAGCTCCAGGTCTGCCATGATGTACATTCAGGAATTGAGGTCAGGCTTGCGGGATATGCCTCTGCTCAGTTGCCTGGAGTCACTTCGTGTATCTCTCAACAACAACCCTGTCAGGTGAGAATTCTGAGGAGGTTTGTTTTTTTTTTTTGTAGAGACAGAGTCTCACTTTTTTGCCCTCGGTAGAGTGCAGCGGAGTCACTCCAGCAACCTCCAACTCCTGGGCTTAGGCGATCCTTCTGCCTCACCCTCCCAAGTAGCTGGGACTACAGGCGCCCGCCACAACGCCTGGCTATTTTTTGTTGCAGTTTGGCCAGGGCTGGGTTTGAACCCGCCACCCTCGGTATATGGGGCCGGCGCCCTACTCACTGAGCCACAGGCGCCTCCCGAGAATTCTGAGGAGGTAACAGGAGTAGGAGCCAAATGCTGGAGTTCACTGGTGGTGGTTAAAGATAAAAGGAATCAGGGAAGTATAAGAATGGTCAAGATTGGGAGTAAAGAGTTACTAATATAAACTTCATTTGGCACAGTAGCATTTATTTGATTTGATTTGACACTGCATTGTTTTTCTGTCTGTTCTTTACAGTTGGGTGCAAACTTTTGGTGCTGAGGGCCTGGCCTCCTTATTAGATATCCTTAAACGACTTCATGATGAGAAAGAGGAGACTACTGGGTGAGGACTTTCAAATCTTTGCAACATCTCGGTAGAGGGTTGAAGGGGACTTTGCTCTTTGCTGTAAAGGAGAAAATAGCAGTTAAATGTACAGCAATAGGTTAGGGGGATGTGCTATTAGCTGAGAATGTGATTTATCATGGGGGTGACTAGGTGATGAATGACGATTGTAGATATAGGAAAGGGAGAAGGAACTTAAATTTAGTGGTGAATAACATGGGATATATGCCACATAAAATTATTAATCTTTTGGCACGAGTATTTTTTTAGTTTGGAAATAGGATCTGATTTAGTCCAGAGCTTCCTTGTGATCTTGTCTGGGTCACATCCCATTTGGGAGTGTTATAGTACACTGGGTCATTTTGGGCATTTTGGCTGTCTTCCCGGTTGGAATAATTCTGAGGATATCTTGAACTGTCTTAGTCTACCTTGAAGCCAACCTGAGTCAAAGTACTTCCTGGAATCTTTTCTGAAACAAAACAATGTAGTACCTATAGGTCCTGCAGATATTATACAGTTTCAGACTTGAAACCTGTGATGTAGTGAGGCAAGCAGTAATGGGAGGGATATTATCCTGGTAGAATTTAGCACTTGGGAGCCTACAGGGAGTGAAAGGAAAGGTTTTAATGTAATACTAAATTCCTGGATTATAAGAGGATTATCCAGATTTCTTTGGTGGGAAATCTCTCTTCAGCTACGTATTTTGTCAGTGTTTTGAGAAAAGTGCTATGTGTTGAACTTACTCAGCTAGTTGGGGATATTCCTAACAGCTTTATTTGCAAAATTGAAAAGTCAAATGGGAAAGGGGTATAGAATAAAGAGACTTAACTTATTATGTCTTCTACATATAGAAGCTATGATAGCCGGAATAAGCACGAGATCATTCGCTGCTTGAAAGCTTTTATGAACAACAAGGTGAGATTTTTTTTCCATTTTCATTCCAACCCCCGTCTGGAGACCCCCATTCTTTTTCTCCCATTGGCAAACCCAAAGAATGAACTAGGGATGTCAGGTTCAAGATGTCTAGCTTTCCCTTTTAGTATCGTAACTTTTTAATTGTCACTTATACATACTTCAATGTATAGCTTTCCCCAGTTCTCTTTTGTTTCAGGGGTAGGCTCAGCTTTCTTCCTTTTTCTTTACGGTCTTTTGCTAATTCTTGAATTTCCTGATCAGTAGTTGTTATTTTTGGAAGATTTCCTTTATTCTCTGTTTATTTGTTTGTTTTGCCCTTCCATACTATTCCTGCTTTAGAATCTTTTTGTTTAGTAGTTAAACCCAAGGAGCCTACACTTATTTGCACATGATTACAAATCTGCCTTTCTCACTGTTTAATTTTGTTATAATTATTCCATTGGATTGGAAGGGAGATTTTTTTTTTTTTTTGGAGACAGAGTCTCAAGCTGTCCCACTGGATAGAGTGCTGTGGCATCACAGCTCACAGCAACCTCCAACTCCTGGGCTCAAGCGAGTCTCCTGCCTCAGCCTCCCAAGTAGCTGGGACCACAGGCGCCCGCCACAACACCTGGCTATTTTTTGGTTGCAGCCGTCATTGTTGTTTTGGCGGGCCCGGGCTGGATTTGAACCTGCCACCTTAGGTGTATGTGGCTTGCGCCTTAGCCGTTTGAGCCACAGGTGCCAAGCCAGGAGAGTATTAAGAAACATAAAAATCAAAGATTTTTATTCTAAGGAGACATAGAATTCTGTTGTGGCTCCCAGAAAATTATTTGCTATGCTTGTATCTGTTTAGCATTGGGAAAAGTATTCTACCTCTATATTAGCTTACTAGAACACCACAAACTGGGTGTCTTAAACAACAGAAATTTACTGTCTCATAGTTTTGGAAGCTAGAGCTTCTAAATCAAGATGACAGCAGCCTTGGTTCCTTTTGAAGGCTGTATGGGAGAGTATGTTGCATGCCCTTCTCCTAGTTTCTTTAAATTGTTGGCAATCTTTGGCATTTCTTGGGTTGTAGTACATCATCCTGATCTCTGCCTAGGGTGTTCTCCTTGTGTGTGTATCTGTATCCAAATTTCCTCTTTTCATAAGGATATCAGTCCCAGGGGCCTATGCTACTCTAGTATGACTTCACTGTAGTTTAACTAATTACAACTATATTTCTAAATAAAATTATATTCTGAGGTCCTGGGGGTTAGGATTTCAACGTATGAATTTATGGAGGACACCATTCAACCCATAACAACTTATAAACTTTCCCCCAGTTAGATGCTGTCATCTTTAAGCCTCCTTTCTCTGTTCTTGTCCTACCAGTTTGGAATCAAGACAATGTTAGAGACGGAAGAAGGAATTCTACTGCTGGTCAGAGCTATGGATCCTGCTGTTCCCAACATGATGATTGATGCAACTAAGCTGCTTTCTGCTCTGTGTATCCTGCCACAACCAGAGGACATGTATGTGACTGGAATTATTTCTCTTCTACATTCTCGTTTTTACCATCTTCTCTTAGTCTAGAGGAAAAGCTTAGTCTTGAGTTGCTTCTGTGTCTTCTTGGTCTTAAATACTAGGTAAGATTATATTTCTTCCCAGAAGTGAACAGTGAGAATCTTAATATTTAAGAACAATTCCTAAGTGATGGGGGATAGCTGCTGCTATCAGAGATGTACCAGGATGTCTCCTGCATCTCCATTAATGTCTGTATTGTCTCCTTTTACTTTTTTTTTTTAAATGCAGAAGTGACACAATGTTATTTTTAAAAATAAAATAGTATGGAATTATATAACATAAAATCTAACAGCCTTGTCCCTTTGCCAGATCCTATTCAACAGAGGTGATTACTGTTTGTTTTTTTTTTTTTTTT